AAAGCTAAGCTAAAGCTAAGCCAAAGCTAAAGCTAAAGCTCAAGCTAAAGCTCCCAGGGGACTGGGGGAACCGCTCCCAGGGGATGCTGGGGGAACCGCCCGGGGCGGGGTCCACTGCACGGCCCTTTTAAGCACACCGAGTAAGAACCCTTCTAGGCAGAGCCTAGGTAGGGAAATATCCTACGAACCTACCCCCTCTTTCCTCCTCCATCCTCCTCCCTCCCTCCTGGGGGGGAAGCGAGAGGATGTCTCCAGAGGTCTCTGACGGTCACAGGAAATCTCCAGAGGTCCTGGATGTTCTCAGGTGTCCCTGGAGGTCCCTAGAGGCCTTCAGAGGTCCTGAACCAGGGATCCTGGAGGAGGGAGGAGGAAGGAGGAGGGAGGATGACAAAGAAGGGAGGACGATGGAGGAGGAGAATGATGGAGGAGGAGGAGGAGGAGAATGATGGAGGAGGAGCAGCAGCAACAGCAGCAGTAGCAGGCGGAGGAAGAAGGCAGGTACCAGGAGCAGGGAGGATAATTTTCAACATCAGCAACTGAAACCAGCGAAGCTGGACGATTTATTATGAGAGGTCGGCCACCCTTTCAGGGTCCACGCATAGCGTGGACCCATACTTGGGGTAGGATCCTCTCAAAACTCTCTTCCACAGACCCTGCTTCTGTGGCGCCTTTGTGTTCACACACACACACACACTTGGTCCGCAGGCTGGATTCCTTTACAAATCCAAAAATTACCCACCAGAGAAGCGCAGTGCGTGCAAATAAACAACGTCGTGCCGTCAGAAAACGGCAAGCCGACCACAAAATGGCCCAGACGGAGGAGGAGGAGGAGGAGGAGGAGGAGGACGCTCCACCTCCACAAAATGTAACTCCCGACGGTCCCCAGGGCAGGTGCCAGGGGGCGAGCGGAGCTAAGACCGAGAGGTCTTCGAACATTTGTCACATCGCCAGCGCCCTCGCGTGAAAACCCGCTCGTGGCGCGTCGAGGCCTGGGCCTCGGTCCGATGACGGTCGGGCCTCGTCCACTGCACGTCAGGCAGCTGAAGGCGAGGCCACCTAAACAAAAGAGCGGCTGCGAGATTGCACACCGTGCGTGCAGTCACAATCGTATCCTCGAGAGCCTCTACCTGACTGGGGTCCACTGCAGGATGGAGTCGAGAGCCCGACTTGGCAGCCCGGTCGGCCTCAAGATTCCCACGGCGAACGAGCATTTCATCAGGTGACACCCCTTCCTCATCCAGCGAAAGGTGAGTGAGTCTTGACCTGTTACACAGACAAAATCTTATCCCTGGCTGGGAACGCAAACATGAGAGGCCCTACATAGGGCCTTTAATAATACATCTGATCAGCCTGGAGTCTCTCAGCCCATACACACACATTCTGACAATCTGAATAAACATTACAGGGTCCTTGGAGGAACTGCCCCAGCCTGCCGTAGGCCGAGAACTCTCCAGCCCGGGGGGTCTGACCAATACCGCCGTAAACGGTCCCGAACACACGCCCAAGGAACTTTCGACCAAAATCGAAAACGGAAAAACCAGCCAGTCCTGCTTAATTCGGGAATCGTGTGACGGAAGCACCTGCCATCCAGGAACAGCCCCTCTTCGATCCTGGGCTCCACCTCCAACGACATCACATCCCCCTCCTACTGCCAACAAACTTTGCCTGTAGTGTCTGGCCTCGGCCAGTAGTCGCCAGGGTGCGGAAAGATGCCCCTTGTCAAGAGCAGCAGATCCTGTGGGTTGTCGGGGTCCATCTGCTCGAACAACTGCCTGGCCTTCCTAGACTTCGACACGATCTCACTCCCTCTCCCCCCCAACACACGGGCACTGCCACAGTCGGTGAAAGAGCGTGCCCGCACCACTGTTGCACGATGCAGGATGCGGCGACGGCGCCGACGGTGGCGACGACGGCGACGGCGACGGCGACGGCGACGAGGACCACGGCGACGGCGAGGACGGCGGCGAGGAAAGCGGGCACCGCGCCTGTCGTCCCCGGAGCGGTGGAGCCGCAGCCGCAGCCGCACGCCGCCCCCGCCGCAGTCCCCAGCCTCGGAGTCGGTGGAGTCCCCGGGCTCGACGTCGAACACCTGGCGCCGCGCCGCCGGCGGCGGCGGCAGGCGGCGGCGACGAGGACGAGGACGAGCGGGAAGAGCGGGGGGGGGAGCGGGGGAGGACGGCGAGGGATGACCGGAGAGGGGGGAGAGAAGGAGGGGGGGGAGGAAGAGGGAGAGAGACGAAGGGGCGTAAGAAAACCAGGGGTGAGGAAACGGAGGAGGAGGAGGAAAAGGGGGAGGAGGAGGAGGAGGAGGAGGAGGAGGAGGAGGAGGAGTGGGCGAAGGGGATGACGAAGAGGACGAGAAGAAGGGCCAGGAGGAGGACGAGGAGCAGGACGAGGAGGGGAAAGGGGAGGAGCCTGAAGGATATACAGGAAGGAGATCAAAGATCAGGAACTAGAGAAGAAGCCCTGATCAAATCAGAGAAGCAAAGGTTGCTCCCTCGGGGGCGACCATGACGAATTCAACATTGCATGATCCTTTCTGGATCAGGGCCTCCGCCTCTCGGAAGGCACGAAGCTGACGAATTTGAAGAATTGGAAAGAAAGAGAGAGAGAGGGAGAAAGAGAGAAAGAGAGAGAGAGAACAAAAAACGAAAACAAAACAAAAAAGAAAACAACAACAAACGACGGAAAAGAAAGGGGAGGAGGAAGAGGAGGATGAGGAGGAGGAGGAGGAGAAGAAAGAAGAGGAGGATGAGAAGAAGGAGGTGGAGGAGGAGGAGGACGAGGAGAAGGAGGAGAACGACGACGACGACGACGACGACGACGACGACGAGGGGTCGGGGCGGGCGAATGACGAAGCGACCGATCGAGCCGAACCACGTCGCGGCCTGCGGCACCCGCCGCGAGCCCAACTCACATCCAAACGCAGTCGTCGTATCGTAAAGAACGCCGGGCTAAGAACGAAACGGCTTCTATGGCCACGACGCGCCTCGGCATCGGACACGCTCACCGACCTAGAGATCCAAGGGGCGGCCCGGGCATGGCAACTGGAGCCCCCCCCGAGCACGGTGCGGGCCCCGAGAGTGCACACCAGCACCACCACGTCGATTCCTCCTCCCTCCTCTGCCCTCTTCTTCCTCGCCTGTCCTGGGAAAGGGAGGGGGTGGGAGAGGTGGTGGGCCCCGAGCCCGGAGGGGTCCTTACTTCTGCACCTCGACCGCACGCCAAGTGCAACGCCTGCGGCTGGCAATCGCCGTACAGTCGGACCTCGGCCGGAAGAACATCCCTCAAGGGCATGAGACCCTCCGTCGGCCAAGACAAACAGAGCATCCAAGGGTACCCTCCCCAGGATGCACAAGAACATCCAACAAACACGAAGAACACGACGGCACCCTCCCCGAACCGACCTCGATCTTATACCTCGGTCCCGCCATACGAGCTGACCAGCTCGAGCGCCTCTTCCGCCAGGCGCCGTACCCGGGAGAGGGGGCCACCAGGCCAGAGAGGAAAGCCGCGGAGAGACAGCTAAGGATGATACGTTTCCCGAAAGGACGCCAGCGAAAGTGACTCCTGACACCGCGGCGTTGCACTTGAGACCTCGAAAACCGCGAGCGAGAGCCTCGCGCAGCGACCCTGTGGGCGAAGCCGAACGGACTGGAGAAATCGGCATCGCCCATCTCAGAAGTCCCGCCGACGACGACGACGACGACGACGACGACGACGACGACGACGACGACGACGACGACGACGACGACGACGGCGGCGGCGGCGACGACGACGAACGGCGACGACGACGACGACGAGCGGCAGACGACGAACCTCCGAGCGGAGGCGACGCACGGCGACGACGGCGCGGCGCCGCGGCGAGCGCCTCGGCGGCGGGCCCCGCCGCCGCGGCGAGCGCCACCGCCCGCCGCAGCTGCTCGGCGCCGCCGGCCAGCTGCTCCGCCAGGCCGCCGGGGCCTCCCCGCCCGCCCCTCGGGCCCCCCGGGGGGCGCCCCTCGGCCCGCCGCGCCCTCGGCGGCCCTCGGCGGCGGGCCCCTCGGCGGCGGCCACTCCGGGCGTCGGCCCCTCGGCGGGCCCGCCCGCGGCGGCCTCGGCCCGCCCTCGGCCCGTCCTCCGGCCCGTCCGCGGCCGGCCCGCGGCGGCCAGGGGCCATCGGTAGATGGCACTCGGGAGCAGTTGGACAGCCTCTTCGCTGCACCTGCACCCGTCCTCCCAAGGAGACGGGGGAGGAGGAGGAGAGGGAGGAGGAGAGGAGGAGGAGGAGGAGGAGGAGGAGGAGGAGGAGGAGGAGGCGGGGGGAGGAGGGAGGTGAGGAAGGGTATCAGGAGGGAGAGGGGGAGGGGAAGGAGTAGGGGTATGAGGAGAAGGGGGAGAATGGGGGGAGGCAGGAGGAGGAGGAGGATGAGGAGGAGGAGGAGGAGGAGGAGAAGGAGGAGGAGGAGGAGGAGAAGGAGGAGGAGGAAGAGGAGGCGGTGGTCGAGGAGGAGGAGGTCGAGGAGTAGGAGGAGGAGAAATGATGACGAGGAAGGAGGAACGGAGGAGGAAGGGGTACGGAGAGCAGGGGGGCCAAGAGTAGGGGGGCAAGCAGCAGGAGGGGCGGGGCACTTCAGTCGGCGGACCAAGGGGCAAGGAGAACCAGGAGGAAGGGAGGAGGAAGGGAGATAAGAGATAGTCGGAGAGGGTAGGGAAGATGGGTGGGGGGGGAGGGGGATCGGGCCTCGGCGGCGTTTGTTCGACGGCGGTCGGCTCTTCGCTCGCGGCAGCGGCACCTGCCGCGCTTGCCGTGACAGCGCGGGCAGCTGCAGCCACCACCGACGCCGCCGCTCGTCCTCCATCCTCCATCCTCGCTTTCTTCCTTCATCTCCTCTCACGGGTCACTGAATATGCTCACCCTATACAGTGGAGGCCAGTCCACAAGAAAGTTCCCACAAGAAACCCAACCCTGAGACCCCAGGACGTCCACTGATGCTTGGCGTGAGAACGCAAAGCTGTCCTCAGCAAATCCATCTCTTGGCATGGGCCCCCACTGTACCGCGCTCTTCCCTCTGGCACCAGGACCTGGAAGACAAGGCGATGGAGAGGAGTGAGGGAACGGAGTCAAGGGAACATCATCGTCTGCGCCCGACCCTTCCCCGCACCGCTGGGGTCCAGCTCGACGACTGTGGTGGGCCACCTGCACTCCAGGAGGTCCTGGCGGGCGTGACGCTCGTCCCTGCTGCTGCTGCTCCTCCTCATCCTCTTCCTCCTCCTCCTCCTCCTCTTCCTCCTCTTCCTCCTCTTTCTCCTCCCTCTCCTCTGATTCTTCACCGTAACCTGTTTAATGGAGTTACGAGTAGTATTAATATGACGTGTATGATTGGCAGTGCTTCTCAGATTGGCAGCATTGGTATTACCACCAATCGTAATACTACTGACTCGTATTACCACCATTCATATTGGCAGTTTGGGTATAACCACCATAAATGTTGGCAGCATTACCACCATTGGAATCACCACCATTATGATGATATTCGAACTTCGTTTTTAACCTTATCAATGATTACTCTGCTGTTTGTGATTCGCATTCGCAGTAGTTTTAGTATTCGTATGCCGTATTATGAGTATTCGCATTACTCGCATTATTGGTATCACTGTTACTAATATTAGTAGTCAGTATTATTATTAATATCAGTAGTAGTAGTAGTCGTAGTAGTAGTAGTAGTAGTAGTAGTAGTAGTAGCAGCAGTAGTAGTAGTAGTAGTAGTAGTAGTAGTCGTAGCAGTAGTAGTAGTAGAAGTAGTAGTTGTAGTAGTAGTAGTAGTAATAGTAGTAGTAGTAGTAGTGGTAGTAGTAGTAGTAGTAGTAGTCGTCGTCGTCGTCGTCGTCGTCGTCGTCGTCGTCGTCGTCCGTCGTCGTCAGTCGTCGTAGTTCGTCGTCGTCGTCGTAGTCGGCCGTCGGTTCGTCGTCGTAGTAGTTAGTAGAAGTCTAGTTTAGTAGGAGTGGTTAGTAGTAGTAGTAGTTTAGATTAGTAGTAGGGCAGGTAGGAGTAGGAGTTAGTAGTAGTAGTAGTAGTAGTCTTAGTAGTAGTCGTAGTCGTAGTTAGTAGGTAGTAGTAGTAGTATAGTGTAGTAGTAGTAGGTAGTAGTGGTAGTCAGTAGTAGCAATAGTTAGTAGTAGTAGTGGTGTCTTTCTCCTAGTAGTAGTAAGTCGTAGTAGTAGTAGCAGTAGTAGTAGTAGTAGTAGTAGTAGCAGTAGTAGTGTAGTAGTCGTAGTAGTCGTAGGTAGTAGTAGTAAGTAGTAGTAGTGTAGTAGTCGTAGTAGTAGTCGTAGTAGTCGTAGTAGTAGTCGTAGTAGTAGTAGTAGTAGTAGTAGTAGTAGTAGTAGTAGTAGTAGTAGTAGTAGTAGTAGTAGTAGTACTATTCTGATTAGTATTATTGGTCGTGTCATCATTGGTATTACTAACTTTATTATATTGCACAGGGTGTCTAGAACTCCGATCACTTTATTTCGGCGTCGCACCGCCCCCACCGGCCCGCCCCCCCAACCTTCCACCAACACACCCACACCAACCACCACAACCACCAGCGTGACACCGCCCCCCGTCCAGTGCTCCGCCCCGACCACTTCATTTCGTCGCCGCACCCCCGTCCAGTGGCGTTTCTACCCCGGGGCCCCCGCCCCCCTCCGCGCCCACCAGTTTATTATGGCGCCGCCCCGCCCCCACCGCCCCGCCCCAGCCGCCGAATGCACCCCGCCCCCCTCCGCCCCGACCATGTTACTTCGGCGTCGCACCGCCCCCACCGCCCAGCCACGCCGACCCTCCCCCCCCAGCCTCCCAATG